AGCCCTCTGGGGTATCGGCTACTCCTCCCAGTTTGGTATCATCAGCAGACTTGCTGAGGGAGCACTCTGTGCCTTCATCCAGGTCATTGATGAATAAATTAATGAATAAATTGAACAGGACTGGGCCCAGGACTGATCCCTGGAGGACACCACTAGCTCCAGGCCTCCAACTAGACTCTGCCCCACTGATCACCACCCTCTGAGCTCTGCCGTCCAGCCAGTTCCTAATCCACCTCACTGTCCACTCGTCTATCCCATTCATAACTATCCCATGGTAACTACTGCTTTGGTGGAAGAATGACTGGGAGGATCCGTACGCCTTGGGACCCCACTGTCTTCTATAAATTCTGTTCAGATTCAAACCTTTCTTTCAGAGATCTGTAATTCACAGATAACCTGTTTAATCAGCCTCACAGATGGTATCATTACTCCCAAGGAATGATTAAACACACCTGCTTTACATTAGCATTCCTGTTCTTGTGGGGTGTAGTTAGGCAGAATTAACTCTGCGAGCTGCAGCTGCACAAAACTGGATGTGCATACAGAACTTTGCTTCGAGAGGTAGTTTCCCTTGTGTGGAGTAGGTGTCCCAAGAGAAAAAAGGGTTGGGTTCAGATCTCATTGCATGCTTCTCCTATATTGAAAACTGCACTTCATATAAGCATGTAAGCTGGCAAACATACATGAAAAAAAAAAAAAGGAAGGGTACAAAGTGCTCCGAAAACCAGGGTATCAAAGCAATGCTAGGCATAGTCCTGAACAAATTAAGCCAGTTCCAGGTTTTTAGAGAAGCTATGGTAATCCTATCAGAAGTAAATTTATGATGAAGCTGAGTTTGCATTTCAAGAAATAGAGGCGTGTAAAATACCTTACATGTGCTAATATGCATTCCAAACAACATGCTTAAGAGCTCGTTCATCCTTTGCATGTTAAGACTTGATCTTATGCTTCCAGGTTTCTGTATACATTGGCTGTGTCCCTCATGCTCCTAAATTAAAGCATATTTGCTGGAAAGTCATGACTTTTTTACTCCAGTAAACACAAAAAATGGTATGAGCTGTTGCAGGTGTAGCTCACAATTCTAAACTCAATTATTGTCAAATAAGAGGCTATTCTCTTTTCTTTAAAGGAAGATTGTGACTCTATTTCTTCAAATTGTATATAACAATAACAATAACAATAACAATAACCTGGCACGTGCTGTATGGTTTCATTCCTTTGATGTCCCAATGCTATTCAAAGCAGTATGACAGGCATTATCCCAGTTTTACAGATGAGGAAGCCAAAGCTCTGCATGTTTAAGCAAATTTTCCGAACTCTCAATACTAACATGTTCCCAGCAGTAGAACAGAACAAGCAGTCCTGCACCTTGTACCCTAAGCTATGCTTTTTCATTTCGTGGTATTTTTGTGCAATGTAACAGTGGTTTGCATTCAATTCTTACTAGTTTGGGGCTAAGTAACTATGATGAAAGCACCCTTAAAGTGGGTTGAATTGTGCACATTTTTGTTATGGGTGTTTTAATTACTTCCATATCTTTTCTTCCTTACAGAGCTTGTCAGTCAAAATATCAGCTGTTTGACACAAACAAATAAAATATATTGTTTTTCTTGTTGCTTTTATTGTCAGACTAAGTAGCAGTCCTGAATTTCTTTATCTCTTAGTAGGCTCTTTATCTCATAATCTTTTTTCTTAGTGTCATTATGCAATCAACACTTACCTTAGTTGTGGTGGTTTAACAAGTGCTTAGTTCAACAGGCCTTTGTCCTCTTCTTTGTTGCTCCTGTTTAAAACAAAGGACTCCAAAAAAGGAAAAGAAATGCAGTGCTCATAAGTTACAGAATAAAGGGTAGATACACATCAGATGTTACAAAAGGCCATTACGTTTGTCTCAAATAAATGCTTACTTTCACATGCAAAAAGTAAATGCACCTCTGTAAAACACTGTACATCTTCAAAATAATAAATTATTGCATTTCTCTTTTTTATACTACTTTATGTATTATCTGTATATAAGTTACATTTTGGGACCCAGGACCCAGAGCATGCTCTTAATCATAAAAAATCATTCTGTAAAAAATAATGCCTCCAGTGAACATAAATGTATTTTCCATCTCTTTATATTTAAGGCTCAACTGTTACAGTTCAGTTGGACTTGATAGAGCAATTTCTTATGACTTTGAGAAGTTTCATTTGCTATTGCTGATAAATGAGGTTACGCATCATCCCTCCCCGATCTGTTCCCAGAGCTTGGGTCCTAAAACAAATCATTATCATCTTGCACCAGCAGAGTACACAGGTCTGCTCCTATCTTTATTCAAGTCAATGAAAATATGATCATTGTATTAATGGTAACAGGGCAGGTTTTATATATGAATTAAAAGCCCTTGTTGATTTGTGACACACTCAGAAAGTTTTCTTAGAAGCGTGTCTAGAAAAGCTTAATCTTTCTCATAGCAACTTTTGAATACCTGGGCTGTGTGCAAAAGTTATTGCCATTAACAGAGCTGAGAAGACACAGACACTTTGCAATTGTCCTTACTTCCACAAGGCTTGCAAGGTACAAATCCAAATTGGAAAGAAAAAAAATAAAGGATTTTTTTAGTAACTTATTTTGCTGCATGTTACTGCATGATATTCCTTAGTCTCTCAAACTCTACTTTTTTTTTTCTTTTTTGTTTTGTTTTTGTTTCTTTCTAGTGTGATTAATTTTTGAATCTCAGATAAAATTAAAGTTCCTTGGAGGATTTTGACCTGTCTCATGTGTTGATACCTTCTTTGCTGCAGGAAATGTATGCTTCAGACTGGCACCTGAGGGGCAGGCTGTGATTTGACTGCTTGGAATATGTAGGGTTGCAGTATAGCAGTCCTCTTGTAGTGAATTAATATACATTTCCTAATACATTGCAGTTGGCCTGGGATTTATTTTTAAGGAGCTGATGAAGGAGACCAAAAAGGAAAGCTTATTAGCAATAGACATTAATTAGTAATTGCCTTCATTGATGATCTGTACCTTTATCAGATATTTTGGGGAATCTTTGTCCTGAAAAATAGTATTTTAATTGCAAGCACCTTACGTAGTCAGAGATAGCATCTTGAGTGAAATACTTGGAGAACAAAGCCTTCTGTGCTATGTACTCTGTGACACAGCAGATGTTGTCCTTGAATATTTCATTCCAGAGTGGAATGTAAGACCATACCTGTGAGAGCATATAGTCAAAAACTCTATTTATTAGTTTGTTTCATATACCTATATGGGAAAAATTTTGATTTACCAACTTAGAAAAAGCTTTAAAAAATATTAGCACTCCTGTAATAGTCCAGCATTTCTGTTTCATACTTATTTTTTCTTCAGGATATATCCCTTTTCTTTCAGAAGTCAAAAAGATTCCACAAAAACTGCCAGATTTATGTCCGCTGCTATAGACATGTGACCTGTACAGAGACAGACCCAACTGTTATTAAAGGTCTCATGACTCTATGATCCTTCAAGCTAAATTTATCGCAGATGCTTTTTCCACTGCTAGAGACCGACTTTTATGATTCCACAGGACACTTCTCTGTTAACCACCAGATGCTAATTCAAAGATAGAGCCCAGAAAATATGAAAAACAGAATATTTAGCATGAAATGTTATTAATGTTCTTTCTGCTTTTTTGAAACACTTCATATGCAGGTAGCTGTCAAAAGCCTTGGGGGCAGTTAGCTCTTTCCTGTCAAAATATAATGTAGTCCATAAGCGTTTTATGGTGCTGTTATAAAGTGCAAAGGTTCAATGGAGTTTTACAAACTGTCAGCCAGAAATGAATGAATTTCAATTTTGAGTGAACTTTCTGAATTATTTGATGAATGTTTTGATACTTTTTGCATAAACTATTTGCCATATTTTTTTCTATTTACCAAGTCTCTATACATTATCTAAGTACAAACTTTTGTGTTTTCTTTTATTATAACCAAGCTGCACTGCCAGTAATAAGCTGCAACAGTGTAAACACTGTACAAAGGAATGGCTATTCTGCATGTAACCACTTGTTGAGCAATAACTCTGCTCTCTCAGTTTAAAAACAATTCCAACACAGTTCAGGGTAAATTCAAAATATATAATGTAAACTGCATGTTTGTAATCCAGTTCTGTGGGTTTCCTTTCTTCTCCTTCTAACAGCAAAATTTCCAAATGAGTTTACATTAATATTTCCCAAAACGATTAATTCTCAAAGCTTTTGTGATAATTTTTTGGCTGGAGATTACAAATGCAAGTTTTGCTGTTTGCACTGCAAAGGCTATCAGAGTCATTGTTACAACAGGAAAAGGTCTCCTTTTGCAGTATAGTAGAGAAGACGTCATATTAGAGGTCTTTTACCGAGGTATTTTGTCCTTCACTGATTTATAACAATAGCTGTCTGTATGTGTGTTTGACTTGAACAGAAAAAAGGAGTTTTGTTTTTATTTAACTTCCCCACAGAGTTTAAAATTTCTTTCAGATAGGGAATGCTTTCTGTTTTGTAAAGTTAAACAATAGTGCTTGTTCACAGTATCTAGTAGAGGCAGAGGTTAGGAGAAAGGGAAGAATTATATTTCTAGGTAAGGTTTTAGTTTCCTTGGAATAAAAATCTGTGTTCCTTTCTTTACTCTGCAGAGATTAATTTATCTAGCAAGTCTCTAAATGGAAATTCCCTGCCTGACTATGCCTTACATTCATCTTTTCCTTTCATTTACTGTCCATCAGTAGTGTTCTTTTTTTTCAGTGTAATTAACCTTTAAACCTGTTGTTATAATACTGCAAGAGAGATAGAGACACTTTTTAGCTGCCTTAGGTCCCATGTGACTTGCAGGGAGAATAGATTCAAAATAGACTAGTTCCTCCCAGGGCAATACAAGACAGAAGAGAAAAGCACTGTCATTTCCGAACAGCACAGTGCTAGAGTAAATTCAGTGTGAAAAAGGAAGGAGTTGCAGTGTGTTAGGTTTCTTCCTTCGGAGCCTGCATTATCACAGGAGAAGGATTTCGGAGGATTTTTAAAACACAGTTTGAAATGGAACACTCGAAGAATGAGCTTTATAAGGCCAACTGATATCTGACTGCTAAAAATACTTGAAGATTTTTTCAAAATGAGCATTGTTATGAAGCCAAGATCCCGATCTACCAGCTCCTTAAGGACTGCCGATGCAATGTGGTAACGTGCTTGTTTTTTTTTCTTTCGAGCTTCCCGTCCTATTATGACACACAGACATGTCCCAAGAAAGTGACAGGATTTAATTGTGGTTCGATAGGTTCTGCATGCTTATTGAAGATGTTCAGCTGCTAAGTTTAACAGTTAATAGTAAGAAACAAAATTATTTAGCTTTTTTATTGTGCAACCCTCTGCATCTAATATTTTTTAACAAGACCTATTTCATAAGATTTTCACATTTGGTCACTCCCTGAACTTTGGAATAGTTTCTGAATTTTTTAACTAGATTTGTTTTAGCAATAAACTTGAAATATAAAACTTTCCAGTTTGGAGGCTGAAGGGTAAAATGAAGTTACCGTTTACGTGCGCTATTTTGGGATACATGCAAGTAGTTTTTCTGCATAAACAAACTGAGTAGCAGAGGTGAGTGTCCTGGAAGGGGAGAGACTTTACAGTGGCAGACATGAGACTGTGCAGTGTTGTGCTTCATGCCTTTCCTTCCAGGCAGGGCTCAAAGGAGTAGAACCAGACTGTATTAGCGGTCTGCCTGCATGATTTGCCTGTTAATTTTCCAGTTAGCAATTGTGAAAGTTCTGTCTTTGGATTAACTATTTTTCTTGTGAGTACCTTTTGCATCATATAGCTTAATAGTCACAGAAAGTACAATTTTGTATTAGGGTGATAAGATTCCCACTTTTTTTAGTCTCTCAATATTTTTCTTACAACTGCCATAATTTTTATATCCACACAGTAGACTAATGGTTCAGGAATATATTTAGCTGGGAAGCCTGAGTCACTGCCATAAAAACAATATATTTTAAAATATAATCTTCATTTAGAATTAAATGGGTCATGCCTGATTGTGAGACAGAGTAGTGGCAAAATGTATTTCTTTGTGACCAAATATATCTAGCTAATATAATTGAACTTTAGCCTATTAAAAGCTTTATGTTTTAAACAGTCTTGAGTCTGAGTTAAATTATTCCAGGTTATTTCACTACTACTATTAAAGTGGTTACAATTTTTTTCCGAATTGTCTTTTGCTAAAGTCATCTTGTAGTAGAAAATGAAATCAGTATCCTACTCAGACTACAGTGTAAGTAATCCCAGCTGTTCTCATATGCCCCTGAGGAGGAATTTTGCTGCAAGAGCAGCAAGATCTTTTTTTTATTCTTCTTATTAAAAATCAACAAAATAATACAAAATTAGTAAACTTTATTTTGAAAAAGGTGATATTATATTGCTGTTACACTATGCAAGGTAGTAAAACAATTATGTCTTGAAATGTTGTAATAATAAACAGAGTATCTCCAAGTCATTGAGCTCATACATACAAGCCCTAATTATTATGTACAAATATGCAAAAAAAAACAGTAACCTTCTGATTAGTTTTTCTGTCCTTCAACTATATATATAGAGAGAGAGAGAAAGAGAGAGAGAGAGCTCATTTTTGAAGGAAAAAATTATATGTTCTTTCAAGCAGATAAATCCTCTGTACTGAGACGTGCAGGCTGATACGGCTGCTGGGTACTCTGTCTGGAATTTCTGCCTGTCTGCCTTTGGTTGCTGCCACTTTCAGCAAGAGCATTGATATGGTAGATGAGGATACAATTCCTGCTAACTGGGAGTTCAAAGTCTTGTGCTACCTTGCAGTTTAGGCACATTCCCTGAGTCCAGGAAGTAGCTTACGGGGAGATCCTTGAAAGTTGCCTAGATAAGGTAAATACTTTTCAACGGCTGCGTGGAGCGACGCCAAGCAAGCCTGGCCCTGCTGAGAGGCGAGAGGGAAACAGGAGCATGGAGTGGAAAGACGAGAGGAGGGATGAGCTCCTGAGCCTCTAGCCTCTCAGGCCACCCCTCTCGCCCCTATTCAGCTGCAAGGAGACTTCTTATATCCCGGCTCAGAGGTGGCCTGAGCAGTATCGGTTTCCAAAAAACCTGCACGGCCTCAGCAAGGCTGTTCTGCTGCATATTGCAGGAGGGAATAAGCACGAGAGAGACAGAGACAAAGACAGAAGGGACAGTGTAGGAAGAAAGAAATTACTGGGCAGGGGGGTGGAGGGGGATGTTGGTGGTTGGGTTTTGGGTCCCAGGAGGACAGGGTTGTCCTGAAGTATGAATATTCCGTGTGCTAGGGTTTGAGAGAAATGGTCCCACGATGTCCTTGTGCTGCAGTTTCCCATATAAATAAAGTTCCCATGAGGAACCAAATCCAGACTCCCAACTGTCCAAAACCAGTTTGAGAATGGAAGAGAGTTAATAAGGCAAGACAGAGAAATCTCTTCAATTCCCAGAAATCACCCAAGGTGTAATAATAACTTCACAGTATGTGGTGAAGTCATGATTGTCTCTTTAGCACGGATGTTACAATGCATTCCGATATCTTAGTGCGCAGAGGTGTTCAAGGTAGCTCTGACAAGGGACAGATTAGCCCTGGGGGAAAGCTGGGCTAACACTTGCCATTTCATAGTTGGCTCAGTTAGGGTTGGTTGGCACTAAGTGCTATATTAGGTTCTGTGGACAAACCTTCTGTTCCTGATGCACTTTTGAAAATTTCTACTGAAATGATAAAGGCAGAAGTAAAAGCAGATGTTTGGGTTTTAGGCAAAATAATCAGGAATATTGCTTAAATCCTTAAATAAAGGATTATTAACTATTAATTTAATGTTGCTCTGTACTGCCACTCATTCCTAAGCTTGTGAGGTGAGCAGAATGTTTTTGGGGAATATCTAGAATGGATAAATGACCATACAGATTTTTCAGTGACAGAAGATTGATTTGTCATTTTATTCCTCAGAAGAAATAACAAGGTGGCTCATTTATATGCATTTAAATAAGAATATGGCTCTACCTTCTTGATTATTTGTCCCTGAGCCATTGATTAGCAGTAATTTATGTTCCCCAGAAGTGTTCTGTTTCTGATTCCTTTCCTTTTGTACCAGAATGAAAAGTTTGAACTTACTGGAAAAAAAAAATCTATTCTGGAGGAAATGAAATAAAAATTTTAAAATTTGAGAAAGAAATTAACATGCTGGCAAGTCAAACAAATAGCTATGGTTGTTGGATAACATAGGAGTCACTAGTTGAGAAACATGCAGCTGATCAGGTATTAGAATTTTGTTATTCTTTCATGATATAGATAATTAGGTCAAAGATCCAATATAGCTTTTTTCACACAATACTTTCTGATATGTCTAGATGATAGCTATCTGTTTACCTTGTGGCTTGGCCTTCCCTGTATTTATTTATTTGATAACATATGCCAATTCCTGCTTTCCTGTCTTTGGAATTTTGCGGCTGGCTGATCTACAAGAACAGATCCCATTCTCCTTGGTGTCTCATAGAGCAGAGGCCTTTTAGGATTCGCTTTGTGTAGAACACTTTATCTAGCCTCATATGACTCTGAAAGTGGGTGATGTTTGGTTTTGGTATCATTCAGTTTGGAAGACTGGAAATTACTGAAAGGTGTTACCAAGTATGAGTCTAAAAGGCTGCCTGGTAAAATATTTGTATAGATAAGCAGAACAGCATGGATCTATTTCATGAGCTTTTCATGTTGGTATTGTTTCTGGAGCCAAAATTTTAGTACAGAGCAATGGGTTGAGATTCTATTGTGCAGCCCTGTGGACTCCTCTGACTTCCCAATGTAAAGGCACCCCAAAGTAAAACTATGCCATGAGCATGACCTGGCCTCTAAAGTCTTTGACAGGACCAACTTGTGACTATATCATGTGGGCTATCCCCAGATAGTTCAGATTAGTACCGGCAAGCCTATTCCTAGTATTATGATGATGTTGATATATAATAAATACTGGTAATATAATTCAATATATATAATATACAGATTATATATATTATTATAATATATAATTCAATTTCATATAATAAATATTGAAAGCATCACATACCTCTACGTTATTGGCATCAGGCCTGTGTTTGAAATCATTGCTGATGTTCAGACTGAGAACCCCAGTGTGGGAGAGATCAGAAAAAAATAGAGTATTTGTAAAGGACTCAGCAGGTACATTGACTTCAATGAGACATACACTTTGTCTATAGAACAGAGAACAGTATATAAATGCAACTGGGAGTCACATTAGCAGCATGCACACTGCCAGGCTGTTGATGAAGTCAGGCTTTTATATCACTGGACAGGATGAATCTCTTTTCCTCTCCAGTCATCTGTGGGAGATGGGAGTCTCTTGCCACCATGTCCCTTGCTACCTGTCCCCTGCTATCACAGCTTTTACAACCACTCTTGAACTAAAGGGGTTTGGGAACCCTTATAGTTCTTGGTGACATGTTTAGTAGCTGAAGGAGTAGAAGCAAGATGCATGGTGTCCAAACACATGGGGACGTGAATCACCAAATACGATGTGCAGAACTGGGGAGTTTCTGAATGCTGAACAAAGTCTGCGAGCTAGAGATGACCTTTACTAGATGAAGTCTGACTTTGGTGGAATTCATAGCTGACTTCAATTAGCCACATAGCTTTCATAAGCAGTATGGGCCTGAAATGGGCCAGGGAAATTTGAGGTGGTATATATTCTGCCAGTGACTGTGCTAATGAGGAAACCTGTATAGTCAGTGTTATTTTCCACGTTGTAGTATGTTAAACACTGATATTTTTTCCAAATGAAAGAGGGACACAAATGTCATTTTCTCTGCTGAATTAACTGCGGCATTTGAATTAATCAGGTGTCATGTTTTCTCTAACAATATAAGAAATGTCCTACTAGGCCTGACTAGTGGACTACCTAGCTTCGTATTCTGTCTTCATTAGTGGCAACAGGAGAATGGAGAAAAACTGTCTAATTTATGTAGTCCCTTCTTATCATATTGCCCAGCACCCACAAATGTTACATTAGGGATATGAATGAGTTCTTCCTAGTCTGTGCCCTTTAAAGTCCATTTATTTACCCGCTGTCTATTTGTCTCATCTGTTTTTAGAATTCGCTGACACTGTCTTCCTTCACAGCTTTATGATAGCCTTACTTGCTTTG